GCCAGCCACCCTCGCCGCGGGCTTTCGGGCGGGTCCAGCGGGCTTGCAGGTGCGGGCGCTGCCGCAGGTAGGTGCCCGCGGCGCCCCGAGGCCGAAGAGCGCCTGCATCCCTTTGCCCAGGGCCCCTCTGTGCCCCCAGGCACTTCGCCCCTGTCCCCGCCCCAGGGCCGGGGTCTCTACCCCCTAGACTCCTCGAGAGCTCGCGGGCCTTCGAACTCCGGTCCCCATTCCTGCAAGTACAGGGCGCCCGTGGGCCCCTGGGGAGGTCAAGGGCACCCACATCCCCCAGCACGAGTGTGCTGGAGCCCGAGTTTGTGCCACGTGGGCGGTGCTTCCCGGTTTGGGCTGGTTTCCACCGGTCGAAGCCCTCCGAGGTGAAGATCCTCCCTCTTTCTGGGGTGCCTGGCGCCCTGCCCTGTGGGCTCCCGGACCAGCCCAGCGCGCCCAGTTCCACAGCCGCCCTGTCCCCGCGGCCTTTCCTTCAGCTGACTTTTTCCTTTGGAGTTGAAGGGCCCTCCGGTTTTCCCATGGGGTGTCTCATGATAAAAGGGCAGGGAGCAGAACGGACCCTATGGTGTCGCCCGCCCTGCTCTTCATGGGACCCCTTCTAGGCCCGTAGTTGGCTGTGGAACTTCAGGACGATTGCTTGAGCTTTTTAGGTGGGAGAGGGGAAACCTGATCCCTTTTGCCACATACTGGCCCCTACTCTGGTGTCCACCGCCATCCTCACAGGCTTAGGTTTTACCCCCCACCCCCCACTATGTAGTTCCTCAACCAAAGCTGTCTACGGCTGAACCATCCACTTCCAGTCATTTCTCTCCACCTACTGTCTTCCGTGGCAAGTACCTCTTCCCCAGTTAAAGCCCTCACTCCACTCTGGCCAGTGTGGCTCAGTTTTTTGGAGCATAGTCCCCTGCACCAAAGGGTCGAGGGTTATCGGCACATAGCAGGGCTTTGGGTATGATCCCCTACTGGGGTGTGTAGGGAGGCAACCCATCGATTTTTTTTCTCTCTCCCTCTCCCTTTCTCTCTCTTTAAAATCAATAAAAAACATATCCTCGGTGAGGATTTACACACACAAGAAAGCTCTTAATCCCCTGCCTTGGTCCCTGTGCCTGACCCTTCCCCACCCTCACCCCCAGGCCACATCCAGGCCAAGTTCCTCTCTTGTGGCCCCAGATCCGAGGCAGCCCTTCCATAAATGCATGTTGAATGAGTGATCGGAGGAAGTTGGAGATCATCTAATTCCAGGGCTCAAACTGTTTCCTCACACTCAGGCTACGAATGGCGTCCAGGTTCCAAGGTTGGGCAGAGATGAGGCAGGCTGAGTGGAGGTGTGTCTTCTGTGATGGGCTGAATAGTGGCCCTAAAGACATTCATCCTCACTTGACTAAGGGACTTTGCAGATGGGATTAAGTCAAGGCCCCTGAGATGAAGTGACCCTGGATTTCCCTTGGGGGTCCAGTGTCATCATAGGGTCCTCAAAAGAGGGAGACAGGAGGGTCAAAGCCAAAGATGGAAGATACTGTGCTGCTGGCTGTTAAGATGGAGGAAGGGCCCTGGCTGGTTTGGCGCTGGTTAGAGGGTCGGCCCTCAGACTGAAGGGTCTCAGGTTCGATTCCGGTCAAGGGCACATACCTCAGTTGCAGGCTCCAACCCTGACCCCTGTCTGGGGGCTCGTGTGGGAGGCAACCAATTGATGGGTCTCTCTGACATCGATGTTACTCTCTCCCCCTTCCACACTCTCTGAAAAGCACTGGAAAAATATCCTCAGGTGAGGATTAAAACAAACAAAAATAAAGATGGAGGAAGGGGCTACCGGCCAGGGATGTAGTGCCTCTAGAAGCTGGAAAAGGCAGGAAACGATTCTCCACTAGAGGCTGTCCTCCCAAAGGACAGCCCTGCCCACACTTGGGTTGAACCCCATGTTGGACTCCTGACCTCAGAATGTATGTTTGTGGTGTAAGCCACAAAGTTTATGGTGATTTGTCCCAGCAGCCACAGGAGGCTCACACAAATGAGGAGGCATCCCAGGCATGCCGAGCTGGGCATGGGTGCAGGGTGGTTCAGAAAGCTCTGCCTGCCTTGGACTAGGAGCAGCCAGGCACATGGTAGAGACCTGGGGGTGGCTCAGGGTCCATGGTGCAGATGCCCCTAAACTTGTTGGCTCAGAAACCCCAGTGCCCTTGCCTCTGGGGGTCTCGCTGAGGAAAGAATTCAGGAGGGACCCTCGAGCTTGGAAAGGTGGCTCAGTGTCAGGAAGGGCTCTGTGGTGTGTAGGACCCTATGGTAGGGCTGGAGCATTCCATTCTCACACAGAACCACTGAGGCCTTGGGACCTAGGCTGGTCTACCTTCTAAGGTCCCGACGTCAGTGGCTGCTCAGGGCCTCTTGGTGGCCAGAGGCTGGGCATGGTTAGCTGCATGGGTGCTGGAGTCATGAAGACCCAAGTCCTCAGGCAGGCCCAACTCCTTTCCAAATGGTTCCCCTAGGCAAGTTGCTAACTTGAGCCTCAGTTTCCCCCCTGGAAGCTGGAACCAGTTCCAGTGGGTGGGCAAGGCTGACTGCAAGAGAAAAGAGTACACATTATGGAGGGGCCACTGGGGGG